GAAGTGGCAAAGTAGCACTGTGGAGTTCAGTGAGGGGATCTGTTGAGAAAGCAGAGAGTATTGGGTTGAATGCCTCCTTGTATGGGTGCCACTGTTGTCTGAAACTGGAAGCACAATTGTCTGAGAGTGGAGAAATCTGTTGTTGCTCCAGCTGTTAAATAAATCCCCTCTGTGCCACATCCTGCAGCGGAGCCTGCTGGGTCTTCCTGCATCATTCATGGTGTGTCTGAAAGGGTAGAATAATGCAATATGCTCCTTCTGTTTAGTTAAATGTACACATGCTTTTCATCATTATTTTATAAGATACACACTATGAGACAGAAGTCCTGGAAATGACTCTATTTCTGCTGCAGCTTAATTTTCTGAGCACTCCCACAACACTGAACACAAGTTAGGATGGGTACTTTACTTACCCCCACTGCCAGAAAGACCCCAAGGACACAGTTCTTTGCCTGAGGCTTTTCTGAGCTGAGAAACAGTGATTTGAATAAAACAGCCTAAAAGCAGAAGTGAGGCAATGAATTCTGCCTGCAGGGCTGGGCAATGAGGGACTCCAGGTCCTGCAGCACAGTTGGTACATGCCTCAACTGAGGATGTCAATATTGTTTTCAATTAAACTTTCCAGTTCCCCCCGCCCCCGTTTCCCTTCCTTCGCATATAGTGCAGAGAGAAAAGGAGCGGCTCCTCTCTGAGCCTCGAGCTCTTGAGTTTCACCCACTGGGTCCACTGGGATAAAAGAATGGAAAAGGAAAACTTCTTCCTCTGGCAGGACGTGCCCCAGTTCTCACCACACTGCAGCATCTCCTTCAAGACAGTAAGTCTAGCCATGCTGAATACTGGAAATGCAAACGTGGATATCAAGTTCTTTTCCCCTGTCCTGTTCTCATCTGAAGAACTGTGGCTCCAACAAATGCGGTGGTGATACTGTGTTGATATTTCTGATCAACAGCATCATGTAAAATGAGAGTTTTTGCGCATTTACAAGTGGGATTTAGGTATCAAAGAACTCCTTGTCCTGGGCATCTCTGTTGCCCCTTCATATATATCACAGTATGTATCTTACAATATACTCCAGGTTGTGAGCACCACCCATACTACTTTTTCATTTGTCATTGCCAGACAAAATTTAGTGGCTTCTGGGATGATCAATGATTGCATTGTGTGGAATTATAGAAATATAGAAATATAGAAAGCTAAGCCCCAGCTGTCACGTCTGAAGTATGAATAAGTGCAAAGGAGCCCATCAACTTTAGTTGTAGTGTAACTCCCTTTATCTCCTTTGATTGCAGTATAATATTTTATTGAGAAATCTTATGGAACCTGCATTACAGATAGATGGACACACATCTGTTTTCAGTGTTATTTACCACTAGTTTTTACGGTCAGAGAATAAGCTTTCCTCCTGAGATCATGCTTCCCAGAGAGTTTTCTAACACATGCTTTATGCAGAGGGATAGATGAGAAAATCACTTCTCTCTATCTTCTATGACTCAGTTGCTAGCTTTGGGATTGACTTCATGGTGTACTTCCCACGTACATAGCTTTCATCTCCGGGGCACTCATAAATGTATCTCTTTGAAGTTGCTAACATCTTCCAATCTCACAGAGCTCATGCTGCTCCACGCTCACCCTCCAACACATTTATGGAGGATTTGAAGCCTAATGAGATGATACTTGCACCTGATTTTAAGGGTCTTATTGGCATCTAGATCTCTGCTGTCATTAGCTATTATTGCAGTATTGTTTACCGTCAGGCACAATAAAAGTATCAGCAGAGAGTATAATGAGCAGTACAGAAGGGCAGTGTCTGCATGTGCCTTCACCTGAGCTGCACAGCCCTGGTTAGTGAGCTGCTGTGCATCTGTGTCTGTTGTCTTTATGTAAAGTGGTTGTGTGTAAATGTGTAGCTACACCAGTAGTGATGTAGTTGCATGTATCTACTTGCAAGTATACACATACATAACTTGGGGGTGCCAGAGGGTAACTTCACGGAGCTGTGGCTTTTTGTAGGCTCATTAAAAGCCTCTCCTCCTGTGCTCCCATGCACACTGCCAGGGCTGCAGCCATTTGTCTTACAGAACAATTTCCGGCAGACATAAATGGATCCTTGTTTTGCTTGAGAGGCGCTAAATTACCTGTGCTGTTAACCTGGCCATATTAAGAGGCCGAGTACGAGCGTGCATGGCACATGCCGGCAGCGGTGCCTTTCTGGTCTTGGGGGACTGATATCAGAAACGATGTAGTACTTATATTGCGTCTGTATCAGAGGGGAATGAGGGAGTGTTGGCTGCTTATCTGGCTCCTCGGTGCCCGTGTGGATTGCAGAGATAGGTGGTATCTCTGCAGCTACAGCTGACCCTCTTGTGCGAAGGAAAATACGCCGCATAAGATTGCCATCGACTACACATGTGAAATAGAAGGATGAGTTAGCTGCTAGCTATCAGTCAGATTTAAGCAGTGATACTGCACTTCCTATGAGTGTAAGTGGCAGATCTCCAGCGTGGCAGTGAGAACCTCGGGTGGTGCTGGAGCTGTGAATGGAGCCCAGCAGGAGTTTGGCCCCAACCGGATGCAGCCATGGAGGGCCAGCTGGCTGGAGCTGATTCCGGGAGGAAACTCCCGCTCTTCAGCTGTTGGCATACAGTGATGAATCTGTTAAAATACATCGTGAAACTGCGTCGGGCAGGATTATTTATGGGAAGGATCACAGAATCACAGAATCACCCGGGTTGGAAGGGACCTCAAGGATCATGTAGTTCCAACCCCCCATGAGAGGCAGTAGAAAGAACAGTAAACTCAGATAATTGCTGTCTTTGGAGCTCGCTCAACTTGTGGTGTCAGCTGAACAGCTAAGCCTTTGCTGTGAAGGATGTATGAAAACAGTACAGGTAGAACCTCTAATTTCTCCCTACAGAATGTCTGCACTTGATGAACTGATGATCTGCTAAGATGTGTTGGAAAATACGTGTTTGTGGCAGAGCGCTGTGATGCCGTTGGATTTTTGATTCCAAAATATAAACTGTATTTCATTCATTGTTTCCACATTTGCTAATCTTTTTAAAAATTCTTTTTTTAGTATTAAATTACCCATGGTTTTGCCATTCATGACCAACCAAGTTGCCTTATTTACCTACCAGTCCTTCACTGTACTGTATAAAAAACAGCCTGAAATGGTCAGGCTAGCTGAAATTACCTGCACTTCTTCACATCTATGGAAGGAGCTCCTTTACAAGCCTATGTTTTCATGCTCCCACTAAATTTACTGAGACTGTGCACTTTCTGGTGACTTGATGTCAACCTTCATCAGCAAATACAACAGGAGAGCTTCCTTACCAGTGTCCCCCACCACTCTGTTAAATAAAATTTGTTTCTTCCTCTTTTATCAGAGCTCATCTGAAAACAAGTAAATGACTTAATGTATGAGAAGAAAAACAGAAAAATTGGGATCCCATCCGTATTACCTGTTTCCTCCGCTTTTCACAGTGGAAAGTGAAAAACTATTTTATGGAAGGGTCTCATACTAAGAGCTATAAATCATACTTTCCAATCTGTCTAATTCTAAAACAAAAAGCATTTCTCAAAAATGAACTTCTGTCTTGAAAACTACACTCCAAAAAGAAATTTCTGATAAATTCACTTTGTTCTGCATTGCAATTTGAGAAGAAAAATTGTGATTTGCACTTGTAAGATTTTACTTCCCGTGACTGTTGATATGGGTAAAACCACAATAACCAGACTGTGAACTGAAAGACTAGAAAATAAAAGCAAAATAATTTATTGGATTTTATTCATGAGAATGTATCTAAATATTTTATTGAAAGTATTTTCTCACTATTTTTCCCTGTAGTGAAATGAGATATGAAGATGGAATTTATTGCAATTACTCTTTGAAAGAACATATGACTGCAAAGGTCTTGAGAGTAGTTTTGTTTACTTGAACATTTCCTCTAAGAAGAAACTCTTTAATAGTAGGGCTGTGTATGAAAGCGTTCATAGTTAATACAATGTCTCAGCTGCTTCTAAGATGAAAATCTGGACCATTTTGGTTTCTTTGCATCACCTTCACATGATACTGTTTTCTTTTAGCATAATGCAATGTTAATCTTTTTTATTTGATTTTGCAGTGGGATTCTTACTTCAGGAGTATATGGTGTAGTATGCGGTGTGTAATAATGAGTTCTTGAAACTTATCAGAAATGTGGCTATGAAAATTGAAAAAAAAATATTTGAAAGCTCCAAAAACTGTAATAATACCTGTGGACACCTATAAGGTCAATGAGAAGTTTGTCATAGAATCACAGAATTCTATAGAATTCGTTTGAGTTGGAAGAGTCCTTTAAAGGCCATCTGGTCCAACTCCCTGCAATGATCAGGGACACCCCCAGCTCCATCAGGTGCTTAGAGCCTCATCCAGCCTGACCCTGAATGTCTCCAAGGATGGGACATCCACCACCTCTCTCGGCAACTTCTAACTGTGCCTCACCACCCTTACTGTAAAAATCTTCTTCCTTATATCTAAACTTCTTGTCACATACATTGAAAGTAGAATGAAGCCTTAATGATTTGTTCTGCCTCTCAGACGTGATAATGTGCTAAAAACATCCCCAAATCACTCATTGTTATTGGCCACACATCAAGAGTGATGTATCCCAGTTGATAAATCCAGCCCCTAATTTGTTGCCTGCTTTCAGCCTGACTTCTCCCCAGCTCAGTGGCATGATTGGTTTTAGACAATCTTCCCATAGCCCACGTACAGTAGAGATAAAATTTAGCTAGATGCATATTTTGAATCGCTTCAATGCATGCTTAGTCCATTGTCTGGCAGATGAGTTTAACATTACTATTTTGAAGTGTGTACCCATTTTCATGTTTTCTCATGATGTAATTAGTTTCCTCTGCATTTCACAACAAATTTTCAAATTCTGAAATTTTGCTAATTACATTTTTCCCCTTGTCTTGTTTTTTTTTTTCTTTTTTTTTTTCTTTTTTTTTTTTTCCAGCTCTCGTAAATGTGAAACTTTGGGCTATTGATCGGCAATGTTTTCAAACAATAATGATGAGGACAGGCCTCATCAAGCATACTGAGTATATGGAATTTTTAAAAAGGTATGGCGCTTGTTTTCTTTATAAGAAATACAGTGAAACTGTTGTCCTCATCTTTGACTTTTTTGTGAATGCAGTGTTTGATTTGTGTTCTTTCAATTTCTTTTTGTTTGCTGCTTAACCATCTGTAAGTGGTATCCTCCAGCCAAAGTTGGGTGATCACCAAGAGGGGTTGCATTGCTCTTTAGTTTCATTCCCATTGTGAGTTATTCATTTGCAAAGAGTGCCACAGCCATCATGTAAATGAAGCTTTGCTATGAGTCATTCAAAGCTTCTATATTGCAGAAAATGCCCATCAAATAAAAACCTCCCTGCGGAAGCATCTGGTTCTAGAACCAAGTCCATTTTAAGTGTACTTTTGCATTTCTACAGGCAAAATGCAAGTTTCTAGTGAAGCAAAAGCTGTGGATTTCTGTAAACTGTGGTTTAAATGAGCAGCAAGAAAAGCATAAACTTTCACTCTTTAATTTTGACCTCAGTCTCACAAACATCATTGTGTTAGTGCTACCATCCCAAAGTATGACAAATCCTCCTTACCAAAGCAGGGGCTGATATCCCAATAATTCAGATCTGTCATAGCAGTGAACAACTGCCTACATTTCGTATCAGCAAAGCAATAGCAAATAGGAGCATAACATCACCGAATCCTAGAGAAAAAAAGTTGCCTGAGTCAGAGTGATGTTGTAAGTAATTCCATCGTTATTAAGTCATTACCGCAGCAGATTTGTCCCAGATCAGAACGTTCTCTGATGAATCACTCCCCTCCCAAGCAAAAGTGGTGAGAGGTAATTTACCTGAGAGGAACATTCTTTTGCTGGAAGGTAGGAACTTGCACAAATTTCATCCAATTTGGGCTCCTTTTCCTCACCTCTCACCATGGGGAGGCTATACTTGATATCTCTTTTTCTAAAAAGGGAGGTAGTAAAAATCACTTACAGACATTAAATAAACCTATGCAATACTTTAGCTGGATGCCACAAAATTGGGCAGTCCCACAGGGGCCAGGGCGGGTGACCTCTGTTCCCATCATCTGCAGGGAAAGCTTTGAGGATAACTTAAAAGTAGTAAAAGATTGATAACAATAACAAAGTAGTAAAACTAAAGCGATTGGTGATGCGGCCTGGCCTCTGATGAGGACAAGATGTTGCCCCAGAGAGGACCAGGAGCTCCATGGAGAAGTTCTGCTGCTCAGGAGCAGCCATCAAAGCCCAGCTTTTTCCAGGTGTCTCAATCATCTCAGTTTGTGGTTATTCACAGGTGTACTCAGGAGAGGAAACAAAAACCTGTTGCTGTGTGGGAAGCGTTTAAAAAACCATGAATTCAAATGTTAACATGCAGTGGCCTTTCTTGTGTGCTGGTGAATGAAACAAAGAAAATGAAAGTAAGATCAGTTTTGGTTGTTATTTTGCTCTGGCTCTCTTTGGAAGAAGATGCTGTGCACGTAGTAAGTTCTTAAGCTTTGAGCTTTAATAGAGCTTTTCTAGATCATCAAGATCAATTTGGATGCATGTTGCACTGAGCCTGCCCAGCTTTAATTTTAGAGCTAATAGTGTAAGGAAACAACTGATGATTTTTCTCTTACTGTATCTTCTTGTTCACGACAGTGTGTCAAGAGTGTATTAATGCTGAAAGGCTAAAAAAAAAAGTTAAAGCAAATACATTTCAGAAAGGCCAAAAGCAAGCAAATATGTTTTCTTTAAATCTTGCTATTTCAGTTTTGGAAAATGTTTGTCATACAGAATGTTGCAGCATGGAACAGCAACTTTCTGTTGCATTGTCCAGTTGTGAGCTACTTCAAGCTCAACATAAATTCTTTTTTTAATTTAAATGAGGTACTAGATGCTCGTCTGTAAGGATGCTTCCCTTCTAAATGTTTAAGGAAAAAAATGCATTAAATCTTGAGAGCGAGGAAAATGTCAATTGTTTACTGTATTTGTTCTTTTTTCCTTTCCTTTATTAATAAGTTAATGAGAATGTTCACCAAGAAACAAAGTCAAAATAAATATTTAAATGAAACCTATTCACAGAGAAGTGAGGGAGGCTGGAAAGCATTATCTTTGCTCTTAGCACTCTGAAAAAGTTGTCTTTCATAATCTTTTCATTAGTCACAGTAGCACAACAGTCATTCTCTTCAATAGAATGCTTTTGCCTGCAGACAAAACACAATAGAAATGCATCTGGTCGGGGTGAGATAAGATCCTTCCTATCTTCTCATTCATCTTACTGACAGTAGCGACAGCACATGCACAGGTGTCACCAGGGCTCCATTTGGTCACTACAGAATACTACCTCTGTGGCCAGTGTTTGTCATCTGCTGTGGTTTTCTGTTGAAAGAACATATTGATGAAATGGATCTGCTATTATTTGCTTAGTTTCACTCTTTTATCTTCAGAGAATATATGGTCTAGTCCTTCCTTCCGAATGCTGTGGAAAACCATAAAATGTACATTTCCTGGTTAAGAAATCCCAGTCTATCTTTCCAGTGGATACTGTGCTGGAAAACTGTCTCATCATCAGCTCCAAGGAGTGGTACATAGCTCTCATGGATTTACAAAGGTTGAAATAACTATTTGATGTACATAAAACAACGATAGTCTGGAGCTAGGAGCAACTAAACATCCTCTTTTTCATAGTGTTTAGGATGAACTGGTCTCTTCATCCCGCTCTGGCACTTGTAAAGTTAATGGATGATCCTTGAAGTGATCAAAAGATGGCCTATTTCCATAGCAGTACCTGTTTCAAGTAGAGGAGAAATCCAGGCTGTTTTTTGATCACTGCATGTATGCCAAACACCAAATCATAGCGCTGATTCCCTTTGAAACACAAATTTTCAGTAGCTCATTATGTAGCTGAATCTATGCTAGATTAAGCTAGCTCAAAGCACAGCTAATGTGCAGGCAATGGTAAAGAGTTAAATTATATCATCTAAAAAAATCCTGTAGATTTAGAAACAATTTATGGCTGAAAATGCTGAACATCTCATCTTCGATCTTTACCCAACTTAGTGCTTACTGTGTATCATTGAATATACTTGCCCTTACACGAACAAGAAGTAGCATTATTCTGCTGTGAAAATTGTAGATATGCTAAATCCACCATCTCCATACATCTCACTGCAACATTCGTAGTGCTAAAGTTATAGTGATTTTCTTCTTAAGCCTTTAATGAAGAACAGTGTTTAAGCAAGATCAGAATATTTCAGTTAGGGGGAAAAAAAAGCATTTATACAATAAAATTGTTCAGGAAATATGATGGGAAAAGGGAGCAGGTGTAGTCATTTCCTGCTAAATCATAAAAGTTTCAAGTTTTCAAAGTTTTCAAAAAGGCCAGGATACCTTTTGAAGAGTAAACATTATCTTTTTTTTTTTTTTTTCTTTCTTTTTTTTTTTTGCAAAAAACTGTCTAGATGTGCCATAAAAAAACCGCCTGTGTTCTGGTCCACCGTGTGAACTCTGATTCATCCAAGATCCTGGAACAGATCAGGCAACAAATGATGAATATTGTATGTAGCCTTGGAGGAAGGATCTAACTTTAGATGCGGAAAATTAAAGGACATTACATGCTTACACTCACACAGCCTTGAATCTTGCTTAAACTTTATGTTAACATCAGAAACTCTGATCCTGCTGAAAAAATCCCAGTCTTCAGCTTATAACGTTTTGTTGTAGTGCTTTGGCTTGATCTTGAGTCTCACTTATAATCTCACTTAAGTGAAAAAAGTTTAAGTGGGAAGTTTTAATCTGATGAAGTATGTCAGAAATGTGACTTTATGCCCTCATGGTTTATCGACGTGGGGAGTCATGCTGGTAAAGTTATTTGTGTAGAAACACAGATGTAACTGTTTCAATCCTGAAATCAGCGGCAGAGAAAGTTTTGCATTTCGTTTGAGTCATTTATAACCAAGAGGAAAGCAAATACAAAACTGTGTGGAGGTTTATTAAATGATTGCCTTTGGCAGATTACCTGCAGTTTCATGCAAAACGTTTTGCACAGTGCATCATAGGGTGAAATTATACTGGACAGAAGTGATAGAGAAATTTAAAAAGTGAGGCAAAGGGAGGACAGGCTTTTGAAAAAGAGAGTTGGAAAGTGAATTAGTGGAATATGTATACATTAGGATAGTTTCAAGTGACTGAATCTGTGAAACAGGCCTTGGCCTAAAGAAGGCAGTTTCTGTGGAGGACTGGAACATAGGCAAAGTGAACAGTGGGGATAGCTGAGAAAGAGAAAAAGGGAAAATATTTACAGAAGATAAATAAGTACATTTATTCTTAATGCAAATTCATGTGGAAGGACAGAAGTACTGGTTCAAACTGAGACCCCATCTAGACCAGCATCCTTTTCATCCCAGGATGGTGCCCAAGGCCAAAATGATGGGCCCATCCTGCCTGAGACAGGTGTGCAGGGTAGGACTTTGAAAACCAACTGTGTCATCTTCCAGTGACGCTGCTCACCTTCTCTAAGATGTGGCCATCAGCCACTTCTAGGATGTGCTAGTTTTCCAGGACAGTCCAAAGAATGTCACTTGCAGGAAGGAGTTGAACTGTTGTGTCAGGACCAGATTCCCTCTGACCTCAAAGGCATCAACAAGGCATTCACCCCAGCTGCCCAGACTGACACCAGCTCATCTTGTGATCTATGACCTGTGCAGTGCATAGTGTGACAGAAACCATAAGTCCAGGCAATGGTCTGCTGGTGGAGTAGAAATTCTTGAAACATCCAGCTAGCATCTCCCAAGAGCTGAAGATGAAATGGTGTGACTTAAAAGTCAGCTTCTTCAACTGTGCCCCAAAGTGACCACAAATACTATGTGCTCATATTGCGTATGACATATTGCCCAGGAAAGAGTTAAAAACAGAATGAGGTAATTAATACATAATTAGACGGAGATTGCTTTCCAGCTCCTATCTGTGGAAAGCTCTGAATCTTTTTTTCTCTTCTGAAGTATTCACTGGTACTTTTCAGGCCTCTCTTGCCTGTTAGCATAACTCAGGCAAGGCAGA